GACGCGACAGTATTAAACTTTTTTATTGTGAAAACCTCGAATACATTTTGTGGTTTTTTTTGTTGTTTTTTTAATACAGTCTTTTAGGAAATTTTACTTTACGCGGTGTTACGTACTTATCTTGATTTATTGATCCGCAGGAATTTTTGCTCGATTTTTAAAAGATTACTTAGTAGAATATCGCGAGTTAACTTTTAAATGAAACTTCAGGCTTTGCTGAGAAGAAAAAATGATTTTTTAATTTTCGGTATTGCTTCCCGTCTACCTTATCTCGAAGTTACGGCGAATCTTTGTGATGCTTCTTTTTTAGGATCAAGTTCAATGAAGCATTGTAGGTATTTCCAAAAGAAAAATAAGAAATTGTAAAAGAAAGTTTCAACCAGGGTAGTGTCTATAGACTCTTGAAGGATAGTTAAGCTGGCCTTATCTTGTAGGGGTTACTTATATATAACTTAGAGCTTTCACCGTTTAATTCGTTTTTTCTTTTTCTCTATCTCTGAAGACCGCCAAAGAGAAATCAGTAGTGCAAATTAAAGAGAGATCTGTTTGCTTTCTTCAAGTATCCTGTGGACCGAGATGCAATAGGATTACATGATAATATACTATAATAGACACGATATAATGTATAATGTAAAATACACGATATATATAATGTAAAAAATATTATTAAGCAATTTTTGTTTCAAATATTAAAAATAAAAATAGGGTGTCGATTATTCATTAATTTTGAAATTGCGCTGATTAACCGATGACAAATAGACAGATAGCCATAACGCAGTAACGATAGTCTAAGGATCCTGATGACGATGACGATAATGACGCAGAGATAAACAATGGATGCTGGGTGCATTAGGTTTAAGAGTGAGTAAACGAACAGGCATCAAGTTCAAAAAGTAAAGCCATCTTGGACTTTACAGAGAACGAGAAGAAAGTAATAGGGGGTTGAAGTAGGAGTATGGAGAGAAAAAGATTAAGAAAAAGAAAATATATAAAAAGTAAGAAAACGAAGTAGTTTCTCCTAGGTAAACTTGGCTACGCTAAATTTCCTGTTCCTAAGAAAGTTTAAGCCGTCCGGCTTAAGCTCCTTTAGATAAGAGAGAGACTTCATTTAAATAGAACACCTGGCTCTCAGCTTTACGAGCTTCGACTATTACAGTGTTAGAGTATACGCGCGTACACGATAAATGTGGTCAGTGCGGCCATTTTTATTAAAAAAATAGAAAAATATTTTTCAAGATAATTTTTTTATTTTTCTTTTAAGACCTTTCAACAATCTGAATTTACACTTGCTCGTGCGATCGATTTATTATTGTTATAATAAAAAGTCAAAATACTCTTAGCAAGAGCGGACGAAAAATCGATAGTGTTATGGAAAAGTGATAGAGATTCGATATGGTGAACATAGCTGGGACAATGGCTGAAAATAATTGTGCGTGCAACAGGGAGAGTGTAAAGATTTTCTTATTAGCGAACCATACAAGTTCCTATAACGGAAAAAAATGGTATTTAATAAAATTGGTTTCAAGTTTTAGTGTTTGTTTTTGGAGTTTTTAGATTTAAAAAAATGTCTAGGAAATTCAGTGAAAAGCGTCGATCAGCATTCGCTTCGATATTCTCGGATGACGGATGGAAATTGCGACGCCTGACGTCGCCGTCATCTCCGTCCTCGTTGTCCTCGTCATTTCCGAGCGGATCCGAACTCTTTCTCGAATGGATTCGCTCTTGGCGATTAATTAGTCGAGGAGAATATTAGTTCGCGTCTCGTCCCCTACGCGGCGCCACCGTAGAAGCTTGTAATATCGCACAATTTGCAAGGTACTTTGCGAGAAATTTGATTCGACGATGTTGGCGACAATTGTCAGCGATTTTAACATGGAAATTGTCCAACATGAACGTCATTCATCAAGAGGTACGGATTTTCAATTGATTCTTCGCTTACGATCGCGCTGACTATTGAATATGTAAAGGCAAAGAAGGAAATCGAACAAAAATTTCAAATAGTCCAAACCCACCGAAGAGTAAAACCAAAAAATATTTATCGTTTCGTAGTAAAAGCAGAATTTAGCTTTTTTTTGTTGGCGACCGAAGTCGTCAAAATTCACCGGCGTCGCGACGCAGGTTAATTCATTCTGAATGCTCGCGTTGCGACGGCGGCCAAAGTCTCTTTGGAGAGGCGTCAAGTCGAACGGGTGAAGCGTTAAATCCGCTCGTTTCGTTTCGTTCGCGTCGACGACGAAAAAAGCTGATAGCGCACGAGAGCAAGGGAGACAAAAATAGAGGAAGAGAGAGAGGGTAGGGGGGGGGGGTTGAAGAAAACGACGGAAAAAGGGGAGGCAAAAATATAAAAATCCCAAGCAGTCAACCTTATTCAGATTTTTCGGGTGAAACCAAGAAAAATAATGTCATTTCCCTTGAAAAAAATAATTTCCTACAAATCGACGTGGTGGAAGTGCCGGAATCAAGGAGGGGCTCATAAGAACGCTACATGGAGGTTGACAAAAAATTTGTCAAAACTTAAGAAAATTCAATCTCCTTCGCCCCTCGACCCCTGTGACCTCCTCACCCATTTTCATTCCCGACATCCCTCTCAATAACTCATTGTCAAACTATTGAAAATTCACTTAATTCAGAAATAGCATTCATTGCTAATAGCATCAGTATCATCGAAGAATTATGCAAGATCGACTAGAGTCCAGTACAACGTAGCAGAGTATAGTGTCTATACACAGTATCGTATAATATAGCGTAGCACAGTTGGCTTACTGTAGCATACTATAGGTATATCCTTAAAATATGACTTCTCAGAGGGAATTGCGGTAAAAGGTGATTGAAATTCGCGGGACTATTCAATATCATTGCAGGTCCATGAATATACGAGCGACGAGTATTTCCAATGGAAGTTTCGTCAGCGACAAACGAAAGACGTGTCACGAATATTACGACGTGTCGCTGCCTTGAAAATTGCCAATCGAAAAGTCCCGAGAGTTCGCGTTATTATTTTGCAATAAGTATACGCACGTTTACGGACTTTAGTAAAGTATTACCTAACACCTGTATACAAGTAAATTTCCTACGTTACGGGTAAATATATAAATTTAATAACGACTCCAGTTTCCAAGTGACGTTATTTCTTCGTACAGCGTTCACGATGAGCCGTAATAATAAAACGTCAGATAATTCGCACCAAGCAGGTACACTGGCATAATTGAAATTCGCCAGTCTCGGTCCGCATTAATATATCCGCTATGCACTGTGGATTACGTCTGGGCAATATTAAATTCCATTCGTGACGTCACCTTTGTATTTCGGAGATCGCACGTCACCCGTAAGATAGGTAGAACGGGTGTACCAAGGTACACGTAGTGCCTATTAATCTTGTTAAGATCAAAGGACACCGCAGAGTCCTTGAGAAACAGGAGGAGCCCTTATCGACGTAGACGGTCCATTAAATGTTCCATGACACACTTAGAGTATCCCTATAATCAACGATATACAGTATTTCTAATCAAATTATAGACTTGCGTAGTAGGTAATTTCTACCTAGTGACAATTCCAATATAAAGGCAATTCCAATAGAGAAAGGGTACTGTTAACGTGACTCATATAGGTATACAGTACATGTTTCGTAAATGTATTGGAGGTTTCAGTAATACAAAAAAAAAAGGTACCAAAGATTCATTGAAAATAAAAGCACAAAAAAAATTCAAAGAATCAAAGAGCGGAATTGTAAGTGACTATACACATATATATATATATATATACACCTAGTCGAAGAAAGTATCCGCCAGATGGCCAGCAGGCGGTTCCGAATAAATAAATAAATAAAAGCCGAATAGACTCTGGTCAAGAGTCAAGCAGTCCAGGAGGAGGGTTTCCGGAAGTGGAAGTGGAAGCGGAAGTAAAGTAAAGTGAAGTAAAGTAACGTGAAGCCATAAAAGAGAATCAATTCGATTCCCAAGCTGGAGTTGCGCTCTCGTTCCAACCAGGCAACTTTTCCTTAACCACCCCTTGGGCCCGTAGCAACCCCTAAGCCAGACGAGCGTGCCGCCAGCACCACTACTGCCACACTGCCACTACGACTACCGTTCCAACCCCCCTCCCACCCCTAACTGCTTCTATGGCCCATTCCTTCTGTGCAACAAGTGCGCCTGGCTCAGATCTTTAAGAAAGCACTCGTCCCGACGCGGCACTATTTCTTCGAAATCTACCCTTAAGAATGTGCATCCCCCCCGTACACTCTTCTTTCCCCGAAATAACCCGTAACGCGAGACGCACTGCCAGAAACAGCTGTGCTGCGGACAGCTCCATAACAGTCTGACCAGTCTCTGTCCAGTACTACTGCAGTTGCCATAGCTACAATTCTCTTCCTCCTGTACTTTTTCACGGGTGCTTTCATTCTGTGTCTTTAGGAATTTCATTTAATTATTAATAACACTAACGTAAATCACGGCGTGTATCATCGTTCGAAATCTGCCGACTGTTTGCTACCCCGTAGCTCCACAGCAGTGGACTGGTAAAGTCAGCAGGTAGAAATTCATCGGATACGTTAAACCACCATTAAAATCCATTGACGACACCGACCGTAAATAAACCACCATAAGAGCATTTAAACTTCAAGTTACGGTTGCCGATGCACGAAAGTCGCATCTGACTCGCCCATTATCAGTTACATTAAAATATGGACGTATGTATTACATACATATCACGCTGCCAGGCATACGTGTAATACCTTACAGGATGTCAGGGTAGGTCAACCGCTACGATCTCAACGGGCATATTAATGACATGCCGTTCATTACGTCAAGTGCATTCAGTCTTTCGTGTAATTGGAGAAACAATAGTTGGTCACGAGTATCGAGAGCAAGTATCAAAATACTTGTAGCAGAGTAAATGGCAGATTTTAAATTTATGAAAATTTCGGCAAAGAAAACAGGTTTTGTAATTCGATGTACGTGCTTTTAGTCCTGTTTATCTTTTTAGAAAGGAAACTGTAGACTCACCATGGACGAGAATGAGGGAACCAAACAGGACTACTGATCCGAGCGGCCAACCGGCCATCCTGGCTTGGAGCGTTACGTCGATTCAGCTTCCTCCTGAAACAATACAAGCATGCCCAATCAATCAAGCCATCCATTCGAATCCGCTGTTCGCCAACCCTCTGGAACCCAGCATCCCCTATACCCTATAAAACCCTCCTGGCCATGACCGTACACGCTACACCACGGCACCCCGTTCCATCTGGCATGATGCCCCATTGGCTAACTACCCTTATACTTTTTTTTTTATTACATACGAAGCAGCATATCACATTTTTCAACTTTTGCAATAAATTCCATTTTTTTTTTTTGGAATTCATAAAAAAAGAGTACAGATATTAAAGCAGAGCGAAATGTCGCACAATTCAAATATAACGTTTTTGCGAAATTTCAGATACAAATTGCTTCATACGTACATCACTTTTCGGTATACCGGAAGGGTACGGGAGGAGGAAAATAAAAATGGTCTGTACCGGAAACAAAATGACGCTGGTTCATTAGCAAATATCAAGCCGTAATCACTGTCGCTGAAAGCAACGTATTTACTAATTAGTGACATACGAAGAATCGCAGACAAGCATCGGGAGGATGACTGACGGATGATTGGTCCAAACGAAGGCAAATCGTCAGCGGAGTATCAGCGATGCAGAAAATTACAGCAAATTTCCATCGATCCATATAGTACGAACTGTGCAAATATTTCGCGAGTCTATTGGCAAACGAGACTGGTAAATATATGAGGAACAAAAAATGACAAAGTTTTATTTTTCAACGCCAAGTACGAGTTAGTCGGGTAAATCTTTATATTGCATGTATATTACGTAGGGAGGAAGTCACGTGACTCGTCTATCTTTGAAGAACAGGAATACCCACAGTCACACGTGACTTCCGCATTTTCCCGATTTTCCATCCAATTTCCTTTCTTGCACCAATGCTATGGGCTCGTTTCACTGCGACGATGTTGCACTGGGTTGGGTTAGGTTAAGGTGACGTAGAGGTTAGGTATTAAACCGTCATGACGTAATTACGCGGGACGCACTTCATTTCCGTCGAATATCCGTGGCGAAGAGGAGCACGATAAAAATTCATCGTTTTTTGGGGGGGAAGAAAAAAAAAAGATAATCATGAAAATACGAGCTGAGATGTCGCCGGTAAGAGTCCTTTGGAAATTTAAGAGTTTTTCAATACCGTAAAGGAGTAACGGGCAAACTATGAAAAATCTATCGTTTTGACAATTAATTTTTTTTTTATTGATTTGTCGTATATGCATTTTATATTCCTTTCGTGAAAATGAAATTAATATAAGAAAATACTAGTTTGTCTATGTCTATGGGACACCGTGGCTCCTTGGTTTTTTGATCTTGATTCCGAGAATAAAAATAAGGATCCATAAGACGTGCGAGGATGCCATTAAGAATCGTTAGAGCTTAATGGGGTTTGCTCCGTAGCACCTCGCGTGTGAGAAAGTCCCCACGGAGAAATGCATGGGATATCGTAAGTTCTCATTTACGGTAAAGGTGGAGGGAGAGAGTAATATAGAAAAGCTAAAGCTTCATTAGTAAATATAATAATAATTCGATAAATATTCAATTAAACAAAAAATGAAATTATAATATACAAACATTACACACTGATAACCGTCCATGCTTCGACGGGAAGTCTTTTGAAGATAAATAAAAAATATAATAAATTTATAACGGAAATTAAGTGGTATAAAAAAATTTGACAAGTTTCATGAAAAACAAGGAAACACGAATGCTTTATTATGGGAAGTAAATAGACGAAAGGGGATGTCCGTTTATTATGTGTATAATGATTACGGGGTATGATTTACAGGGCGGTTCAACATTGTATCGCCCTTAAATGTATGGGTTGCGTGTAAAGAGCCGCTACTTTTGAATCGCTCTGTACGCGTGTACACACGAAGGTGCACTAAATCATTTCTCGTCATTAGGGAATATTATTCGAGACGCCTTCAACAATGCCCACCACTCTCGTGGCTGGCCGCCATTTTTTAACCCGGCAAAAAGGGCCGAGCTCTCCATTCCTCATTGAGCGAAACGAAATACTCGATCCTTCTCCGGCTGCCTTTCATTCGGCACACAAGGCACTTCATTAAAACGCAGGTTGGAACCCAGCAGGCAGCTTTGCACTGAGCCCAGCACTCGCGCGAACAACGTGAAAGACATATAGGGGTAGGTTAGCCATGTTTTTTAGTTACACTTTAAACCCTTTTTATGAAAAAAGTGTCAACAATTGTTTTTACAGAAATATCTCTCTCTGGCTCAAAGCGTATCACAGAAGCGTCGCGACGCCTGTTAAATGCCGGTAACAATAACTTATGGGTAACGAGACGCCATTTTGTTTCGCGTTTACGTTGGGGGGGGTTGCATTGAATAAATTTTAGTGGGGGATGAAAACAAGTTTGGAGTAATAATTTTTTCAAAATGTTATTAATTTTTTCAAAAAAAAAAAAAATTAATGCATGAAGTCCAAATGAAAACTGTAATTCTTGTATATGTACAGAGTGCTCGTGTATTATGTATAGCAGAGTTTTACGTTATCTGTGATAATTTCTTTTACTCTCCGTGTGGCGGCCTTTGGATTGACGATACCCAGAAGACAGTGAGCAGGAAATGTTGTATCTTCGTAGAGGTTGTAGGTTGTAGATTTCGAGGCAGTGGGATACCTTCGTAGTGGAAGGGTCGTAATTAGGGTCTACTCGATTACCCAGACAGGATCTTCCGGCACGGCGGAGGCTGCGAGAAATTGGCAAGAGCTGGAGGATGCCATTAAAATAAGAAAAAGGAGGGTAAAAAATGATCGCGGGTTATTTACGTCTGGAAATGGCGTAATTGGTGTTTTACAGTTGGTATAACTTTAAAGAAATTGAAAATACTGTATTTCCTTTATTTCCGGCGTCGAACGAAATCACGGACTGATTGGAATCTCTGTAATGGGAAGACGTTGTGTGTGTTCGGACGAGGCTGGAGATACGAACGATCGATAGATCATTGAAGAATATATTTAAAAAATCGATTTATCACGGATACGTTTTGCTACAAATTTTTTCGTAAAAATTACGTTTCAGAAGCTTTTTGATTAAAGGATTTAAAACGCTTTTTTGTATTCCGACAGAATGAGAGGAAACGAAGGAATGAAACGAGTCTGTTTTTTTTTGGGGGCATGGCGGAAAACTTTTACCTACTCAGACGTGGAAAATTGCAGGCTGTAATTATTAACGATTACGCACTCCATTCGCTTCCATATTGTAGGATCCTTTTTTTTTTACTAGGGAATTTTTTTTCACCTGCGAATCGCTTTATTTCCCTCTCACCGGCTGGAGGAAATTGTTTCGTCCGAGACGAAGGATTACGTAGGCACTTCCGGCGGAAGTAACGTGTCTGGCATGTTGCCAAAAAATTGCCACACATCGCCGAGCATCGATCCGGCCCAATTCAAGTAGTAAAGTGCGAAATTGGTCAGACATGAATTTTCATGGTTACCAGCGGCAAAAGCTCGGCCAAGTGGTGACAACTTCCGAATGACGATGTATTTTGAAAATATACGATTTTAATTTTCTCAAAGTTATTTTTCATTTTCATGAAGCGACTTTACGCGTTGACGGCGCAAGGTAAAAAAAGCTATATATTTTCAAGAGTCGTCAAGGTATCCGACGACAATGAGGAGGGGTTGAAGGGGCGATGTCTATTAACCCAGGCATTAATAGGGGGTAGTATCTTAAGGGGTGAGCCAGAAAGTGGATGCCTAAGAGGAGTTCGGCGCTGCCATTAACGACGGGATCTTCATTTTCTTCATCCGTCGTCTTTCGAAAATGTCACGCTTCGTCTTTTTTTTTTTTTTGGGGGCCTTTCTTGAATTCCTGGTAGCAGCAGTATTAGCAATAGTAGCGAATACTAGCAACAGTAATACCAGCAGCAGCAGTGTCGCCATAACCCCTAACTCCAGCGACGACAGCTTAATTCAAAGAGACAGAATCTGGAGCATGAAATCGTTTGATTCGCCCGGCGACTCCCCAGTCACGTCTCTCACTCGTTCTGGTCTCAACCACCTACCACCTACCACCTACGACTCCAGTTTGCTCTTCCAACCCTTCAATCCTCCAACCAACTATATACCACTGTCGCCTAACCAGCCTTATTCCTCCGTAGCATCCCTTCGGATACGGCACTTGGGCGTCCTGCGCTTCAGCAAACTACCATCGGACCCACCGCTAGCGATGGAACCGAAAGTGGCGCGCGATTTGAATTTCGAAATTCTGTCATTTTAATAACCGCTGTTATTTTCGGAGTAAAAAATAAAAACTTACCGGTTCAATCCTTTTATCGTTATTTGAAATATTCTATTAGCTTTGATTATTCCCTATGATCCTGAATGCTGGACATTTTGGATTTATCGCCGTCGATTTTGTACTGATGACCAACCATTTTCCTTCGAGCGAAGTATATATCGACGTGTTCGGTTTTCTCAAAATTGATTACTACTACGGGCGTACAGTTTGGTCGGATTAATTCATCACTGACAGGGTTTTTTTTTTTTTGATACTTTTGTCCAAAAAAAAAGTATGGCCGACAGTTGAACCGAAAAAATCACTAATTCCCATTCGCGAGAATACACAAGGCTTCGATAGGGGTATCTTTTCTTTTTTCATTTAATCTGGAATCGTGAAAGCTATGAGTAGGAAGGCCAATTTTATTGGCACGAGTCGAGTAAGGCCGCTTAATGTCAGAGAGTCTGCTTCATTAAGGAAGAAATTAATTAATCGAATTTGCAAGAAACCGCCGCGGGAGAATGAGTGAGAAGGAGAGAGAGAGAGAGAAGAAGATGCTCGAGAGAATGGAAGAAAAAAAGATAAAATACACTATATGTATAAGTTACGTTGGTTAGATATGAATTTGACTGTCTATTCTTGATCCTTTCTCAAATTAATAATAACAATATTTATTTGATCCTTTTTTCGTTTTTGTATAATTTAGCTCTAATTGGGAGTCACATAATTAGGTTCGTTAATTTAACAATTGTCTGAGGATTATTTTTTTTAGGGGCAACGGGTAAGTCCTTATGCGAATTTTCATCAGCTTCATTTAATTCATTCTCTCACTGCCAGACTCGTTACTGCCACTACTTCTAGTGCTAGTAATATTACTCTTACCACCCGTTACCATTACAGAGTCAGAATTTCAAAGAACCGAATTAAACGGAATCGATGATCTCTTGCGCAATTTCTTTTCGCTCTTACCCAGGAATTCGCTAATGAGAATTTTCTCGAGTTTCAATCGACCGATTAAAAAGTCAGTGGACGTTTTCCGAATGGCTCTAGTCTACGGTAGGTTAGGTTTCCTTTGTTTGTTGGAATTACATGATTTAATTTACCTCGATGAAAAATCTATTTTGGAAATCGCGGAGTTTCTTTGTGCAAATGACTTCAAGAAATATCTTGGAAGCTCCGTACTTACATGAAAGCAACATAAAAAGTAAAAAGTTGGCAGAACGATTCATTACGAAGAACAAAAACTGAGTCAACTTCCACACGTTGACGTCACTGATCGAACGTGACAAAGTTGAGGTGAGAAAATGTGTAGAAAATTTTCCAAAATCTTTTCCAAACACCCAAAGATCCTT